GGGCTTCTTCTTTTGGGGGGACATCGATCACTTCATGATGCGCTTTCAGTTGAGAAGGTGCAGCAGTCAGAAAGTTGTAACGAGGCGATACGGACGCATGGAGGCCGTGTCAAGGTTGGCCGCCACGCCGTTCTTAGCCATGTGAGATGCCCGCTCGCTGGTCTTTATTCTAGAAGTTGACTCCGTCGTTTTGTTGTCGAAAGTCGTGGCCGTCTCATTGTTGTTGATCGGGGTAGTCGTCTCCTAGTGGACGAGGGGGAGGAGGCAGGGGCGGTGGTGGCGAAGGAGGCGGCGGAGAAGGCGGTGGGGGCGAGGGCGGAGGCGGCAGAGGCGGGGGCGAGGGCGGAGGAGGTGCGGGAGGAGGAGGCGACGGAGGTGGGGTTGCGGGCGGAGGGGGCGAGGGCGGTGGAGGCGCGGCGCGAGAGCGGTTGTGGTGGCGCAAGTGGCGGGGCGGCGAGTCGGCAGCTGCGGGGCGGCGGGCAAGGCCGGTGTGGGCGCCTCGGTCTTGATGATCGCGCGCACAGCCGTCGAGGGTGCGTCGGGAAGAGGCGGGGCCTGCAGCGGAGAGAAGGGCTGTCGTGCGCGAGCAGCGTGAGGCAGACGCGTGGCGCCGGGGAGACGGCGTGTCGCGAGAGCGGTTGTGGTGGCGCAGATGGCGGGGCGGCGCGGCGCGGCCAGTCAGGGGAATCCCACCGATGGAAAGAGCTCGGCGCCAGGCGTAGAATCGCTCGGGTAATGCTTCGGGAAGTACAGGTCGAACTTCATCTCGTCGCTGATGGTCTTGGCAGCGGTGAGGTTGCACTTGTGGACGAGGGGCAGCACGGTCGCCGCGTTCTCCTCCGACCGATCCGCGCCGAACGCGCAACCCCTGTGCTCAGAGCGGAGCGGGCCCCGCTGAGTCACCGCCATCAAAGTGGTGATCTTGTCGACGATGGCGCGCACGAAGTCGCGCGCGCCGGTCCGCAGCAGCTTCTCACCCAACGTGCTGCTCTCGGTTGTCGGGCGTGAGTGCCAGGTGGCCCCCAGCGTCTGGCCGCTGTTGGCGCGGCAAGTGCCAGGGGCGCGCAGCGTGTCCTCCAGCGGGTAGAGGAGGGCGACGCCCTCGTCCCACGCGTGCGCCGAGCCACCCTCGAGCGAGAAGTCGCTCCACTTGTTGTCCTTGGCCGCATTAGCGTGCCCAGAGTCGCAGACCGCACACGTGCAAACGTTCATGAAGCACTTCTCCTTGTTGAACGACTCCGCGCACGCGTCGTCGTCGAGGGACGCGGAAGCGTTCGGCACATGCCACACGCCGGAGACGGCCGCGCCGGCGCCGGCGACTTGGACGCTCATCATCTTGTCCCAGCCGCCGCCACAGTCGCCGCCGCGGCAGCCGTAGAAGGCGGAAGAGTTCTTGTGCGGTCCGCCGGGGCAGCCGCGGTCGTAGATCTTGCGCTGGACGTCGGTCAGGACGCCCAGCGTGATGCGTCCGGCGCCGCACGCTTGGGAGGTGCCCGCGGCCGCTGTCTCAAAGTCGGGCGTCGCCGAGAGCGCCGCCTCTTTCGAGTGCCAGTCGAGGTCGATGCAGGCGTTCACCCAGTCCGATCCGGAGGCGTCGCCCGCGACAGGAGTGGGACCGCCCTCGGCGGCGGCGAGTCCGGCGAGCAGAAGTAGGCGCCACATGTCGACCATATCCCTACCGACGAAAACACAACCCCCCAATTTCCTATTCCCCCCCAAAACACACGTGGGGGCAAGGGCACGGAGCGGGCGAGGCACGCGAGGCGGCCCGCTTCGTGGCGGTGAACCAGGATGGCGCCGGCGCCTTCCTCAACCAACGAACGCCCATCCCCACCCAATGGCCATGCGGGATGACATGCGAATGGGGACCTGGGCGATGCGTGCGGATCTCGGTGCAGCGCCGCCTGGGTCTCCCCCTCGACGTGGCTTGCCAGGCCGTGTCGGTGGGTAAGAAGACTCGAAACAAGAAGTACCACGACGAGTTCGTTCGGCGACGCTGCTGTCAACGACAACGCGTTCCGCAGCAAGCAGGGCCACAACACTCTTCAGCGCCTGCCCTTGACCTCGCCCTACGCGCCGCGTGGGGCACCGCTGTTCGAATGGAGCCGACAAACTACCTCGGTCATAGTTACAACAAACAACCCGACGTGGACGCGTGCAACAATGGCAGGGGGGCGGCAGGCGCTATTCCGCCGATGAGCGATGTCAAGGTCGTCTGGGACTGCCCCCTCAGCAGCAGCGGGGAGCACGGTCGGAAGGGCGCATTTGTCGCTTTCGGCAACACCGAACATGGTTCTACCGGAACATGGTCGTGGGGCATGGGCCCTATACTGCGAGGAGGGAGAGGGAGGTGGGGGGGAGAGGAGTGTGAGGGGTACGGGGGCGAGGGCATGGAGGGGGAGAGGAAGAGCAAGTGGGCGAGAAGGGGCAGGGGACGGGTCGCTGGCATACTAGGGGGGGGAGGGTGGTGGGCGGCGACCGCCGCATGCCGTCCTATGGCGGCGAGTATCGCTACGCCAGGGAAGACAAGGACGTCGACGTAATGGTTGGGTAGTAGGGCTAGAGGGTTGCTCTACACTTAGTTAGCCTCTGCAGCGAGCGAGCGCTCAACTTAGCCCCCGCATGGAGCCGGGCTCGGACTTAGACGCTGTATGGTCGGGGGCCATGAACTTTTACGACGATAAGGCCAACTCCGGGTAAACTCGGGTATACCTGCAAAAGTCCAGGTTTACCCGAAAAATACCTGGACGCGGTCCCGACCAGCGTATGCCGCGCACGACGCCATATCGCCGTCTCCCAGGGCCAGTGCGCTACTTGCGGCGCGCAACGCCTGCTCAAGTACGCGCACCGTACCATGTGCTGCCGCTATGCGTGCCTTAAGGCGGCTGCGGCGAAGCGGCGGCGCGGCATGCCGATGGCAGTGCGGACGATGCGGTTGCGATGTGTTCTGCTTCAAGATCGTGGCGGTGCTTGGCATGGATATGCACTTCTGCGATCCCAATCAGCTCATCGCAACGAAGCAGCGCAACAAGCTGGCTGCTGCCAACAAGGTCCTATGCTACCTCACGCGCGGATCGTTCAAAGAGGACCAGCGCATACACAGGCTTCTCTGACATGCGTTTGTTTGAGCTTGAGGCTATTTGTGAGAAATGTTTGGCTAGAGATTGCGCTCAAGAAGCAGCAACGAGAATCGGAAGGGGAGGATGCTGAGGCGGCGATTGCTGAGGCATAGGAGGATCGATCCGGATTTTAGTAGGCGCCCGCCGCAGGCGAAGAAAATTTGGGCGGAGAGCGCCGTTTCGATCACGGTGGGAGCCTCTTGGCCCCAGGCCGTGCCACGGCCGACTTAGCCGATGTAAGACTAAGAGGCTCCCGCTGATCTTAGACCGCGCAAGCACCCCAGCGTGCGCACGTGCACACTTAGACCCGCTAGGCGTCGAGGCTCAGAACTTAGACTACTACCCAACCAGTGTCGACGTGCGGCTGCTGCTGTTCGAGTCGTTCGGTGGGTTCGGAAAGGGGGTCGGCGAGATCCTCTGGAAGGCGGTGAACGTGCTGCAGAACAAGCTGACGCGGGCCCAGTACCTCGATGAGGTGACTTGGACCACCAAGAATTGGCTGGGGCTGCAGAAGCAGCGTATCTCAGTCGTTCTTCACACGGCCATATCGCAGAGCAGATTGTGAATGAGCTTGCCTGCGGCGAGGGCGGTCGAGTGCACGGAGCTAAGTGCCTCGCCGTCCTCGCAGGAGTCGCTTAGGCGGCTCCCGTGGTGTACCTGTGTTTAGTGCCAGTGGCAGTGCGCGCCAGTCGTCCCCTGAGCCCTGTGCCTAGAGCAGAGTAGAGTAGAGAGTGGTCGTGGTGTCGTGCGGGTGCGAGGGAGCGGTTCGTTGACTTGTTGATCTTGTTGTAAAATTCTTTGTTGGCCGTAGGCCGTCGCTGGCTTGTGGGTTGTGGGTCGAAGTTTTGCCTCGATGTCTCGGAACACACGGTCAGCGACGTGCGGGTTCTGTTCCCCCCCCCCCCCCCTGACTCCACCTCTCCCTCTCACGCCCGCCGGCGCCGCCACACAGCGACGTGGTCGAGGGAGCCCGGCCACGTCGGCAGCCGGTGCAGCTCCTCCCTCACAAATCCGGCCTCCACCTCCCGCTGGAACTCGGCCGAGAAGGACTCGCCGCTCTCGGAGCGGCGGCCGAAGGTCGCGCCGCGCCACTCGCCGACGAGGAGGAGCCGGTCCCCGCGGTACGCGCGGAGGCACGCCAGCCCGTAGCTCCCTCGGCCGCCATAGTCGGGCCACATCAACACCAGCGCCCGGTCGGGATGCGCCGCGGCAGCCTCGGGCCCGCCCTGCTCGACGCAAGCCTCCCGCGCCCCCATCAGCGCCTCCCCCTCGGTGAACGGGGCGCCCTCTCCCGCTGCGGTGCCTTCGCCGCCGCCCGCCGCCCCGCCGCCCGCCGCGAAGGAGAGCTGCCACGCCTCCGTGTCGAAGGCGAGCACGTCGGCGCCGCGCTCGAGTAGCGCCTGCGCCCCCGCCGGCGGGGCGAGTGAGCTCCTCTCCACTGGCCAGCCTCCTCTCACTAACGCGCGCAGGGGGGGCTCGTCGCTCGCCTTTGCCCACAGCCCGTTTCCGGCGGCGAGCTCGACGAGGGGAGAGTGGCGGCACATCGCCGCCAGCGCCGCGGACGTGGGGATGGACCAGGCGTGCGCGTTCCGCAGGTCGGCCGCCTAAGGAACGCGCTCTCGATGAAGTACGAACGGTTGTGAACCAGCCAGGCCGGGCCGTCTCGGGTCAACTCGCTGGCCGCGCGCCTCTTGCGCCACCTCGGGCCACCATCTCGGGCCACCTCGGGCCACCTCGGGCCACCTCGGGCCACCTCGGGCCATCTCGGGTGAGCTCTCTGCTCGCGGTCCGCGCGCCTCCTGCGCCATCGTTGCGGTCTCGTCGAGAGCGACGGCGCGGGCGACGCCCCACTGCGCGAGCAGGTAGCCGCCCCACAGCGCAACCTTCCTCTTGTACAGCGACAAGTACGGAAGCCCCGCGTCACGGAGCAGCGACGGCTCAAGCGACGGCAGCGCCGGCTCGAGCGCTGCCACGCCGCCCTCCCCGCCGCCCTCGCCTCCTCCCCCTCCCCCCAGAGGGCACGCGGCCGGGAGATAGGCCGTCGCGTGCGCGAGCGGGTGCGCGTCTCTCCCCTCGAGCAGGAGGAAGAAGGCGGCGCATGTCTGTGCGAGGAGGGCGCCCTCTTTGTCGCCGCCCGCGAGCGAACCCGCCTGTTCACAGCCGCTGCCTCGCCCCGGCCCCTCTGGTTGCACAACCGCCCGCGAGTCTAGCCCCGCACCTCGATCCGCTCGTACATGGCCACCACGCGCGGCCTCGCCGCCTCGAGCGACGCCTGCCTCCTCCCTATCAGCTGCCGCCACGCCGCGCCGGCCTTGCGGCAGCTCCGCGCCTGCGCCACATCTCCCCACATCTCCCCACATCTCCCCACATCTCCCCACACCTCGGCCGTGCGGCAGCTCTGCGCCTGCGCCGCCGCGAGCCGCACGACCTCGCGCACGCGCGCCTGCAACCGCGAACCACCTCGGCTGGCCTCGCGCCATCTCGGCCGGTCTAGGACCCCCCCCCCCCCCCCAGCCTCGCTCGCCTCCGCCAGCGGGTCGAGCGCCGCCAAGGAGGCGGCGAGGATCCGCTTCTCGCCCGCGCGCAGCGCCGTCGCCAGCCAGCGCCGCCGCGCCGCCGCCGCCTCGGCCGGCAGCGGCGCTGTCTCGTGCGCCGCCCCTACTCACCAAGCGCACACCTTGAAGAAGGGGGCCTGTCGGGGCTGCGGGTCCCGCCTCGCTTCGCCGCTCCCGCGTCGGGCTCTGCTTTGTCCAGGAAAGCCTCGTCCTGGGGGGGGGAGGGGGGGGGGGGGAGCAGGCTCGGGTCATCCTCGGGTGTGGTCTAAGGCACCGCCGCGCGGCAAGAGAGCGTGTCTCTCTCCTGCTCGGCGGTGGTCGGGTACGCGTCGAGCTTGTCGGCAAGCACGCGGCGCAGCGCCTGCGGGACCTCCCATGGACGTGTCGCGGACGTGTCTGGTGGACGTGGCTGTCGGCCAGCAGCGCGGCGCCGCGAGGGCGGCGAGGTCGAGCGCGGCGTCGAGAGGCGCCGGAGAGCGGAGAGCCTCCCAGAGCGGCGTGCCGGCCGCCTGAGGGTCATGTCTCGGGCATGTCCTCGGGGCGTGTGCTGGACGTGTCCGGCCCGGAGCGGCGTGCCGGCCGCCTTGGCCTTCTTCTCGTACGCCTCGAGCTCGACGTCGGAGAGCCTACCCATATCTCCCCCCATCTCCCCGTGTACCTCCCCCTATCTCGGCGAGCTCGAGGTTTGAGAGCCTCTCGGCCCGCACATACGCGAGCAGCGCCGGCGGCAGCGGGTTGGCGGCGGTGAGCAAGTGCCTGCTCACGGCTCTTCTGTTCACACCTCTCCTGTTCACAGCAGCGGGTTGGCGGCGGTGAGCAAGTGCCTGCTCACGGCTCAAAAGGTGAAGAGGCATCCCAAACATGTCCGCAGCTAGCCGCAGACGGGATTGCCTGTGGGACATGTCTCGGACCTGTCACGGACGTGTCCTGGACATGTCTAGCCGCAGACGGGATTGCCGGGTCACAAACGGCTTTGGGCCGTCGCGCAGCTGCTCCTGGTCGGGCGCCTGCAAGGGCGAGGGCGGAGGGGTGCGGGGACGTGTCTCGGAAGGATCCGGCCGCTGGTCCCCGGTCAAGAGAGGTGTCTCGCAGGTGTCTCGGAAGTGTGTCGGAAGTGTCTCGGAAGTGTGTCGGAGGTGTTTCGGAGAGAAGTGTCTCGGAGAGAAGTGTCTCGGAGAGGTGTCTCGGAGGCCTGCAGGTACTCGAAGTTGGGCGGCTCCTCCTGCGACGGCGGCGGCGCCTCGGGCGCCAGCATCATCAGCAGCAGCCAGCGCCTACAGCTCGCCGCCAAACGAGCGGCTCACTGAGGCGCCTTTGCGGGCGGCACACCCACCGGCGGGCCGGGCGCCTCGCGTCGCACTTGGCCGTGAGTGTCACCTCGACGGCGTCGAACCGGTTCCGCCGCAGCGCGAAGCCGCCGCCGAGGAGGAGCGACCCGTTGCTCGCGCCGCCGTAAGAGATGAAGGCCTGCTCGCCCGCCCCGTACGGCGCGGCGGCAACGACGACGAGCTGCTGCCGCGCCTGGTGGTGAGCAGCCACTCGATCATGAGTCACTAGCGGCTGCCGACCCGCCCCGGCCATGCTCCCGCCGCGACCTCGTCGTAGCCGTGGGATGAGCCCGGAGCGACGGCGGTCGAGTGGTTGAACATGTCGAAGCGAGGGGCGAGGAGGCGCCTGCTGTGCAGGTCCGAGACGTGTCGTGGACATGGCGAGCGGCTGCATCTCGGAGCGAGAGGCGACGCGCTTCTTCTCGTCGCCCATCCCGACCTCCGCCGCGCGCGACTTGACCGTCGCGTACGCCCAGCGATACGCCTCGATCCCCAAGCCGTGCCGCGAGAGCAGCGCCGCCACCGCCGGCTGCGACTGCAGCGCCGCCCAGTCGGCCTCGAGCTCCTCGGCGAAGCGGCGCGCAAGGTCGAGCCAGTCCGAGCCGCGGAGGTGGGCGAGCTCGGCCTCGGACCAGAAGAGGGTCGAGTCGTACACCGGCGGCATCGAGCGCAGGTGCGCCGCGCGCTCCGAGCCGTCGCCCTTTGCGCGCTCGAGCAGCAGGTGCAGCGCGATCGCGTCCGTCTCGGAGAGGGAGGCGTCGGCGAGGGCCGCGAGCTCCGGCGCCCGCCGCGCCGCCATCTCGTGCCAGCACTCCTCGAGCGGCACCGCGAGCAGCTCCTCGCCCTCGGCGACTGCGCGGACGCAGCGCAGCCCGCGGCCGGTGTCGGGGAAGTCGTAGGGCTCCACGAGGCCCCACGGCGAGGCGAGAGAGGAGCAGCCGTCCTCAGAGACGGTGGACATGGACAGCATCGGCTCGGCCTGCGAGACCGCTGGTGCGCGGAGTCGTTCGGGGTTCCACTTTTTCCGGGTGTGGTATGGTGCGGGGGAATGGTGCTGACCGCCCAAGGCTAGCCCTACCATACCCCAAGCAGTCTTCCAAGAGGCCGGGGGGGTATGGTCTCGAGGTGGGTTGGCCGAGCGCACCATACCACACCGTGTGTGAGCACACACACACACACACACACACTCACATACCACACCCCGGAAAAAGTTGGAACAGCCGGCTGGTTCAGAAAACAGGAAAAAAGGAAGTCGATTGTTAAAAAGGGGATTTGCCAGCATCGGCCGTTTTGTCAGGTAAGAATTCTTTTTTGTGTGTATACGCTCGCCCACATGCCAAAGCGCGCGACCCACACCTTCGAGTCCGAGAAGGACGGCGTGCAGAGCGAGCAGCTCAACCAGTGCTTCTGCCTCTGCTGCGGCGAGTCGGTCCTCATCCTCGGCCCAAGGGTCGCGCTCGGCGCGCTGCCACGCCGCCGCACGGACGGCGCGCTCGTGCTCGACCGGCAGCGGACGCAGTTCAAGATCAAGACGAAGCCGGGGCAGAGCGTGCTGCTGCGCCGCGGGGACGCGTACGAGCGGCAGTGGCGCGCTAACTGCCCCGGATGCGGCGTGCCGATTGCGTACGCGTGCTCTGAGGGCGCCTTTGACAGCATCCCGGTGACGTACCTGATCGAGGACGCCGTGGGGGCGCAGGCGGACCTGTACATGCAGCTCTACCAGGTGCCGCCCTGCATCCAGACCGCCGCCGACGGCTCGCTCCGCATCGCGCTCCTGCTGCGCTGCGAGGAGCCGAAGAAGGCTGTGACGCACATCTCAAACGGCGAGGTGGGCGTGTCGGTAGTGGCGCCGGCGCGCGAGGGGCTGGGGAACGCGGAGGCGCTCGACCTGCTGGCCAAGGTGCTCGGCAAGGAGCGGAGGGGGCTCTCCCTCTCGCGAGGCTGGGACCAGCAGTCCAAGTTCCTCACGCTCTCGGGCGTTAGCGCACAGGACGCGTTCCGAAGGCCTTCGGGACCTCCGCCCCCTCCGCCGCCCTACTCGCCCCTCCGCCGCCCTACTCGCCCCTCCGCCGCCCTACTCGCCCCTCCGCCGCCCTCGCCCCGCCGCTCCCCCCCCGCGGCCCTGCCCCGTTCTGCACGTTCCCCTCCCACTCCCCTCTCCCCGCCTCCCTCGCATCCCCCCTCCCCCACCCACCTTCCCCCGTCCCCATCACCCTCTCCCCTCGACTAGCCCTCGCCCTCACCCTCGCCCCTCTCCCAGGCTCAACGACGCAGTCGACCTCTCCGACGCCCTCACATTCGGGGGCGGCAGGGGCGACAACCTCGCCGCCGAAGGCACATTCTCCGCCAACGCCACAAACAACCTCGTCGGCGAGGACGGGCCGACCACCGCCGGCGCGCCCCTCCGCCCTCTCGCCCCCTCGCTCTCCCCGCCCTCCCCGCCCTCCTCGCTCTCCCCGCCCTCCCCGCCCTCCCCCCCTCCACGAGATCTCACCACGCCCCCACCCCGCGCGCAGGCTCCGCCGCCGCCATCGCGCGCCGTATGTGGGAGGAGAGCGCGCAGCTCGACGAGCTCGCAGAGGCGCCCTCGCGAAAGGAGCAAACCTTCCGCGACTGAGCAACTGCCAGCAGCCCTTCCGGATGAGGCTGGCTCCTGCGGATCGCTCGGACACGATGCGCGCTGCGCGCACATGCACAGGCGCGTGCGTGCCGCAAACTGGGGCGCTTCGGCCGTCGCAGAGTGCCCGTATTGTGGCTCCGTTGTGGGGTTTGTTTGTGCGCGGCGTGGAGTCAGAGTGGTGTGTGGCGCGGGAGAGAACGGTCAACGCAGCCGATATACCTTACCCAGACTGCTTCACCCACTCGAGTTCACACCCACACAGGGAGGCCAGAAGCGCGCACCGCGCACAGGCGCACACAGTCACAGAGAGCTCAGACTGTCCCTCACGGTGTGCTAAGAGGGAGCGAGGAGAGGTCTCCAGAGAGGTCCGGCGTCCGGGCTCCGGCGCGCATCGTCTCGGCGTTTAACGCACGAAACGATCATGTGCGGACGAAGGCCGGAAGGAACAGGGCACAAGGGCCACAACGCCGTACCGCACGCCCGTTTTCGCGCAAAGAGCCGAGTCTGACATCATGACATCGTCCACGCCCGCCGGCTGTGGGAGACTACTCCTCGCGGACGAGGTGGTGACCCCCGGCGCACGCACTTCGTCGTGCACGCGGCGATGAGTCGGGACGCCGCACACACGCGTGCGTGCACACGGCAACCAAGCCCTCACACCGCCACGACCGCGACACAACAACAGATCGGCATCCAGCCGCACAATGAAACACCGCGCACCCGCCGCCTACCCCAGGAAGGCGCCCGAGTCGTAGGGCAGCCCGTACATCTGCAGCACCCCCTTCCCGAAGAGCAGCTCCTGCAGGAACAGAATCGTGAAGCCCATCATCGCCATGCGCGCATTCAGCAGCTCCGCGTAGGTGACAAAGCCAACCTTGGAGCGGCCCTTGTACTCGTACGTGTCGTCAAACACGGGGTCGGGCAGCGACTCGTCCAGCACCGTCCCGCGCCACGCGGGGTTGCTCGGCGGCGCCGCCCTCGCGGGAGCCGCAGCGGGCGCCACGTCGCCCTCGCCGCCGCCAAAGGGGTTGGGGAGCGACGGGAACTGAGCGCGCGCTGCGGCTGCGCGGCTGGCACCGCCACGCGCACGGGCAGGCGACTGCGCGCCAGGGGCGAACGCCGCCACAGTAACGCAGCCCACCACCAGCAGCGACCTCGCCAGCGACCTCGCCAGCGACATGTCTGTTCCAGGCACCTTCGCGTTCGCTTTTTTTTTTTGAGAGCGCCTTCGTTACGACTGGAGTGGACTCTCAAAACCATAGACTGTGATCCGACAGGTCAGAATGTGTGACGTGGGTCACTTTGGGCCACGGCCCTCACTCTGAAATAGGTGCAGCGCGATCAGGGCTGAGCTGCTGATAAAGTGTAGTGGAAGTGGCTGGTGTAAATTACTTGTGTGTTAATGATTAATTATTAATTATTAATCATCGAGCGGCGGCGCGGCGCGGCGGCGGGTGGCGCGGCGGGGCGGCGCGGCGGCGGGCGACGCGGAGCGGGGCGGCGCGACCATCAGCAGACGCCCAGGCCTTTGGCTGCGGAGCTCGGCAATGGCCAGCCGCCCTCGACTCAAGGGGCTGCCTTCCACGCGTCGCTGCTCAGGCCGGGGGAGGGCGGGAGACCTCCCGTTCCTCGCGGAACGGGAGCAGGCCCCTCCTTGCCCGGTCTGCGAAGCAGGGCGGTGGTCGTGCCATCTCCGCTTCACAACGACCACGCCGCAATCGTCGCCGGCGCGCGACACGTTTCCGTTGGCGGGACTGTCCTGGTCGAGAGTGTGTGCCGCCGAGGCGGGACCACTCGGGGACAGTGCTGACGGGACGCGGCTTGGGAGACGACTCCCGCGAAAGCACGGCTGGCATCCGTGGCGTGGGGCTCGCCTCCGAAAAGTCGGGCATGGCTCTCCCCGCAACTCTCTTGCTAACACGCGCGCCCCACCGAAACTGTGGTGGGCGCGCTGCGGCTGCACGTCTGCCTCCGTCATAGTGCCACGACGTGCGGCCTAGATTTAGCACACGCGCCTCAGCTTGCATACACTCATACATTGGATCGTCATCGCCTGTGAGTGCGAGAAGGGCTAGCCGCAGGCGGCTAGCCCATGAGGAGAGCGTCCATAGACACCTCACTAGACCCCACATACGGTCTCGTCCGTGCCTCGCAGGCCGGTGAGATTGCTAGAGGTGGAGCACGCTGCTCTAGCCTCACATGTCACTTGCTGTCGTCTGTTGTTTGAGTTGTGCCCTTGTTTGTGCCCTTGGCACCGTGGAGTGCTGGGGGGGGCGACAGGGAGGATGTGGCCCTGAGTTATGTGTACGCCGACTCAGGGTGTGTGGCAGCCAGCTGGCTGTGTGTCTTGTGAGCTTGTTTGTGTCTGTGTGTCGCTCGTGCGTGTCGTCATCATCTGTCCAGCGTCCACCCATACCGCGTTGGTGTCCAGTCCGAGCCTGGCTGTTCTTCACCTTACTACCTACCTACCTACTTCGTTGTTAATAGTACAAACCCAATGGTCCTCTGCGAGCGGTCCTTCGTTGCACAGTCACGCACACGCACACGCCATGCCGCACCGCGCGCCCGCCCACCGCCCCGCCCAGGCGGGAAAGAGATGGGAGATGGGACAGCGAAGGAGGAGTACGAGCACGTATGGGAGGGTTCAGTAATGCGTCACGCTGCCCGGCGTTTCTCACTTTCCGGGACAGCCCCGCCCTTTCGAGGCGGGAAAGTGACGGCTACCCCGTACGCGCCTGCTGCTCTACTCGTCGCCGACCGCCCATTCCCCCCTCCTCGTTCCCCCCTCGAATTCTCCGGACCCCGACAAGCCGCCCGACGTTGGGCCTCTGCCCTGCACGCCCCCGCCCCTTCTGCCCCTCGTACACACCCAGGCCCGACATGCACATACAAGACAAACCCGGCGTCCTGCTCTCAAAAGAAAAAGAAAAAAGGGAATGAGGAGACCAGCGGGGGAGACTCCCCGCCTATGCAACACCCCAGAGAGGGGCTGCCATCGCCGAAGCTGTGCCTAAGCATAACTCCCAAACCCGCAGCGGCCCGGGGGGCCTTGGGGGCAGCCTGCCGGACCGCTGTTGCACGGGGCCAAGCACCAGAAGATGAGTGTAGTGGATGGATTGGGCTGTCGACCGTGCCTCCCCTCTTTTCGCCAGAGTGGGACCTACGCCGCGCCGGGTAGGGGGCGCGCCCGGTCCTCGACGGAGCCACGCGCCCCAAACGACCCAGGCGGCGAGTAGTCGTCGTCGAACCTTCGACACGTAGTCGCCCGTGGTCTTTTTTACGAAGAGACAGGTGCTGCCTTTCTGTCTCGACATGAGGCACCCTATAACTGCGTCATGACCAGCCTGCCATACGTCGCCGGTGCCGCATTCGTCGCTGTGCTTCTTTAGCAGGCGGTGGACTGTCGGCTGCGGTCGCATTTGCGCGAGGCGAGGCGAGCATTCAGGCGCATTGCATGCGCCATGACTCGCGCCAGCGCGTGCGGGAGCTCCTGGCCTGAGCGTTGAGTCCAAGCGAGTTGCGCTGGCCACTATCGGCTATCGCTACGCCGAGCCGAGCTGACGCGCCGAGGCGCCGGCCAGTCGCAGCCGTGAGGCATGCCACAGCAGCAGAGGCACCTGCCACCCATTGGGCGGGCAGACAGAAGGCCAGGGCAGCACTGGCAAGTGCAGCGCGCCTCATGTCGGAGAGCGACCGTGCCTCGTTCGCCGCTTATCATGTAGAGTTTGTTGTAGAGATTTCACGTTGTAGAGCGCCTCTACATCGCTCTACCAACGCACGCAGTTCGTCACGCGGCGGATGTGCTCTACAGCTCTACAGCGCTCCAGAGCGCTCTACATCTCTACAGCTCTACAGCGCTCTACACTCTACATCCTCTACACCCTCCCTCAGGTCGGCGAGCGCCTCCCCCTTCGTCGTCCACCACACGCAGCAGATCTCCATGGCGGCGGTGGCGGGCGACGCCGAGAACATCAACAAGCAGGCGCGCAATGGGCGTAAAGACTGGCTCAACTCCCCAGCGCGTGCCAAACTGCCAATTGGGAACAAAACAAAACTCTCTCCCAATTGGGTCAAGAACAAGCAAGAGGCAAACGGCTTCTTACGCTCGGCCCCAGTGGGGGGTGCCCGCGCCGCCTAGCTCTGCGGACGGGCCCCCCCACCCTTCGTGTAATCATGTAGTCCCCACAATCGCTGACGTGGGATCGCTCATGGGGAGGTGCTTTCTCTTTCTGCCCAGTGTTGTGCGAGGGAGCTTTCCAAGATTCTCTTTCTGGTTCGCCACGGGCCGCTGTAGAGCGCTATGTCCGCCAAGGCGAAGAAGCTGCCGCCTCTCCCCAAGCTGTGCAGCAGCCAGCCCCAGCTCTACCTCCGCGCCGACGGCCAGGGCGTCACGCGCGGCGCGGCTAGCGGTGCCTCCTCGTCGCAGCCGGCGCAGCCGGCGCTCGGCAGCGGCTTTGTCGGCGGTGCAGACGCGGGCGGGGGCAGCAAGGGGATTCGGGCGAGGCGGCGGGAGAAGCCCGACACGGCGGGTGCGGGCTGGGGCAATATGCGCGCGCCCGAGATGACGGCCGAACTCAAGCGCGAGCTGCTGATGGTGCGGATGCGAGGCGCGCTCGACCCGAAGCGCTTCTACCGGACGAGCGACATGAAGAAGGCGCCGGCCCGCCCGCCCGCGCCCGCCGCCCGCGCCCGCACCCGCCCGCCCGTCGCGCGCCCGGCGCCGCAGACTGAGCCCGGATCGGGGCGATGGCCACGTAACAGGGCGCAGCCGCAGGCCCGCTCACGCCCGCCCCTTCCGCTTCCCGCCGCCGCCCGCAGGAGCTTCCAAAGTACTTTCAGATGGGGACGGTGGTCGAGGGCACGGGAGAGGGCAGGACGCGGACGGCCAAGGGCGGCCTCTTCGACCAGGCGACACCCCCATGCCCCGCCCCCCGCCCGCCCGCCTGCTGATCCGGCGCCGCTGGCCCGCTGCCGTCTGTTCAGGTGCTCAACGACGGCAAGCTGCGCAAGCGAGCAAAGTCGCAGTTCCGAAAGGTGCAGCAGGCGACGATGGCCGGTGTCAAGAAGCGGCCGGCAGGAAAGAGGGGAGGGAAGGGCGGGAAGAGGCGGTGAGCGCGTTCAGTTCACTATAGAGACGCACAGCTGTAAGCTGTCTCATATACACGATCTATATCTCAATATGTCATTTCCCCACGCTTCACGATTTTAGCGTTTTGAGATTCGACGCTTTAGTGCCATATGTTCAAGGGGTCCAAACACATGGCATTAACCACATTGCACAACTATGGTCCAAGGTGTAGAGCTGTCAAACGTTAACTTTGGGCCTAACAGTTGCACTATTGTTGGCTGAAAATCCTCAACGTTGTTCAAGTGTTCTCCCCAGCCCAAGCTGTTACTGTTTGTTACTGTTATTACTGTTGTTCAGTGGCCAGCAAGCAAAAAATGCCAAAAAACCCGGGTAAAACCCGAAAATACCTGTGCGTGGCTGACAGCCTGTGGGGTTTTCCGGGTATTTCGGGTATTACCCGCACTGGATGCTGGAGATCGTCGTGGGTCACTGCCAGGCCTTCCTTATTGTTGTTCAGCTGGCCTAACGTTAGCTACTGTTGTTGGGGAGCCCCACTGTTGTTCTGTTGTTACTGTTAACACTAGCAACACTGTTCAGCTCTTAACGTTTGACAGCTCTACCAAGGTGCCCCTGGTGGCGCTGAGGTCGTGCTTAGAGACTCTATATAGAGAGTTAGACCAGCCGTAGGGGCGAGCTCTGCAGCTACACACAACACACGCTTGGCCTTGGGGAGCACTTTTGGAGCACTTGGTGTCGGGACGGGCGGCAGGACGGGCGGCGTCCGGCGACGGGCCGTACGTGCGGGTCGCGGTCGCGTCGTCGAGGCGCGGGGTCCGGGGTCGCGCACCGCCGCCGCGGCAGCTCGTCGCGACAGCAGAGACCTTCTCGTCTTTCACCGGCAGCGCCGCTTGCCGCCGCCGATGGACGGGCTGCGGTTCTCCTTCGCCACCTCTGCCGCCGCCACCGACTCCAACGCCTTGCTGGACTTCCTGCGCGCCCGCCTCGACGAGCGAGGCGCCTCCTCCTTCTCCTCCTTCTCCTTGGCCTCCTGAGCAGCCTGCCCGTCCAGCTGCCCGCCCTCCTCGACGGAGATGGCGTTGGCAAAGCCGATCGCGTTGCGCTCCTCGAGCGAGCGGGAGCCGAGGAGCGTCACTTCCTCCTCCGCACCGTCCTCCGGCGCGGCGGCCGCGGCCGCGCCCTCCCAGCGCCACTCGTCCTCACCCGCCTCGTCGACCCAACACTCGCCATCCGGCTCGCCGGCGGCGTATCCGTCAAAGTGCACGAGCAGCCCCTGCGCCGCGTCGTACCGCCGCAGCGTGCCAGGGTACTCAACTCGCCCGCCGCACTCCTCGTACACGACGACGACGCGCCGGCCCGCCAGCTGCGGTAGCGGCACGCCGCGCACGGCAGCAGCGCGCCTCGCGCCTCGCGCCTCCGGCCGCGACCCGCGGCCAGAAGGCGGCGCGGCCCCCTTGCGCGCGCCGGCCTTGGGCGTCGCCTTGGGCGTCGCGCTCGAGGCGGCGGCGGGCTTGGCGGGCTTGGCGGGCTTTCTTCTCGACGACGCCGGCGCGGGCGGGGCCGGCGCCCGCGGCTCGCCCTCTCCCGAGAAGCCGCAGCAGCGCAGCGTCGCGTACCATCGAGCGGCCTCGTACCAGCCGCCGAGCGCCGCCGAGTCGCACCTCTGCGCGTCGCCGCCCAGGATCTGCTCCACGAGCGGCTTGAGCCTTGTGCCTTCGACGCTCGCATCCACGCCCGTCGCCCGCTCGGCGGAGGCCAAGAGGCGCCACTGGTTCGCGTCGGGGAAGGCGAAGCGCCGCCCCTCGAGCGGGCGCTGCGCCTCGCGCGAGAGCCGCTCGAGCGCGATGGTTTCGCCGCGGAGCAGCCCGGCGCGCAGGTGCTTGCACACGGTGGTCGGGCTCGCCGCCGCGCAGAGCTGGGCGAGGGTCAGGCCCGACTGGTGTCCGCGCACGTAAGCGTTGACGGGGAGGGTCGCTGCACCCCTCGAGGGGCACGAGAAGGAGGCGGGCAGCCGCACGGGGGCGGTGCTGCAGTAGGAGAGCAGCGGGCTGGAGGACAAGGACGCCCCAACGCAGAAGTCGACGGCCGCCGGAGGCGGAGCGACGCGTGCCTGAGGCGGCGCCTTGTACTCCGCCTCGCACTCGGGCACGCCGGCGAGGCCGAGCCACGAGGCTGTCTTCGGGGCGACGAGCAGCTCTTCCTTGGCGCGCGTCGCCGCCACGTACAGGCAGTTGACCTCCTCCTGCGCGGGCGACGCAGGTGGCATGGCGGCGCAAGGGGGCAGCGGGGCAAGGGAGCAGGGGAGCAGGGGGGGCAGGTGTGTGGGGGGGGGGGGGGGGGGACCCCCGCTCACCCCTTTCTGGGGGGCCCTCCCGTCTCTACGATCGCGCACTGATACCATGAGATACGTGAGATACGGGGGAGATGCGGGAGATAGAGGAGACAGGCTAGACCGCGCACTGCGCGCCGTGAGGGAGAGGCGGAGCGCCGCCAGCAGGCTCTCGGGCTCGCCAACCAGCTCGAGAGTGCTCCTATGCCGGCCTCCTTGCTGCAAGAGCGCCTTCTTCGCCGCCTCGGCGGCCTCGGCCACGCTCAGCCCGCGCGCAATGTAGTCGTCGCACAGGTAGACCTTCTGCCAGCCGAGCCCCTTGGCCCGATGCGTCGTCGAGAAGATGAGGGTCGCGCGGTCACGCTGGAAGACCGTCGCCTGCGCGCAGAGCACGGCCCCCACGGGCGTTGGCGATGGCGCGGGCGCGGGCGGGGCGCTTTTGGGTGCGAGCGAGAGGCGCCGCGCGGGCCAAAGGCGCCGCCGCCTGCTTGAGCGCGCCAATGTGCTCCTCGAGCGCGGCACCGTAGCGCTCCACGAGGCCGATGGCGTCCGCGTACTCGACGCGGTCGTCGCCAGCCTTCTCGACGGCTTGCTTGAACGCCTCGTACCCTCCGCCGTGGCCGTGCTTCGCAAACTGCCGCAGCGCGCAACGGACTCGTCAGGTCAGCGAGGCCAGCTGCGCCATCCTCGCAGGTGCGAGAGTGGGGGCGCGTGGCGGCAACTACAAGCGGCGCACCCTCTTGACAAAGTAGGCCTTGTCGGGGATCTGGTGCCAGTTGCCGAGCTTGAGAGCAACCACCTGGCGAGGGAGCGCGGTGCTAGCGGCGGCGCGGTGCTAGCGGCGGGCGGTGGGGGCAGACATCCATGTGTTTCCCGAACCAGCCGAGCACGCCTGCTCGCACTCCTGAAGCCGCGGGGCGCCGCCGTCGTCAGTCAGGAACTGGAAGCGGTGGGCGGCCGCGCCGCCGTGCTGCAGCACCGCCAGCGCCTCGCCGAAGAGCGTCTTGTTGAGCCGCGCGAGCACAACGAGCTGCCCGCCGCTGTACGCGCCAGCCGCGCGGCCCGGCTCGACGCGGAGCGTCGTCGTGGTGTGCGGGTTGCCGCGAATGGAAAAGTCGGAGTACCTGCCGCCCTTGTAGTGCTGCACAAGCGCCGAGGCCGCGTCGGAGAGTGGCGCCCCGTACCGCCACGTCTGCGTGAGCGGCCGGTGCGCGACCGCGGGAAGCAGCTCGAGCGTGCTCGCGTCCCGCGCCCCGCGGAACTGGTAGATGCACTGGTGGGGGTCGTACACGACGAGCTTGGCGCAGCTCGCGCGCTCGACGATGGAGATCTGCGCGGCGGTGCAGTCGTGCGCCTCGTCTAGCATGACGACATCGTACCGCTGAAGCGCCGCCTCCTGCGCGCGGCTGTCGAGCTGGAAGGCCTTGACGTACCCGTCGTGCGTCAGCTTCACCTCGGCGCACTTTGGGTCGCACATGGCGGACCAGACCAGCCGCGCCGCCGCGACCTCGTCCCACTCGCCCGGCCGCGGCGGCCGACCCGCGCGGTGCGAGTCCGAGATCTCGGCGTCGTCCGAGGCGATGAACAGCTTGAGCACCGCGTCGACCGCCTTGACCGCCGCCATCTTGTCCTGCGGGTCGCGGCGGCCGTCGTGTAGGAGCCCCCACGGCACGAAAAGCTTGCCGCTCACGTTGCCCTTGTGCAGCGCCTTTGTCGGCGTGTAGGCGAGCGAGTGCGTCGTGACGACGTCGACGTGGATCAGCCGCGCGCGACGGAACTCGTCCTGCTTCTCCCGCTGCACGTCCTTGTTGAACGTGAGGTAGAGGAATCTGAGGTTCCGCCGGTGCGCCGCGTAGTCCTGCAGCACCGTCGACTTGCCCGAGCCGGCGGCGGCGACGATGCCGAGCAGCTCGCCCTTGCGCAGCTCGGTGTTGATGATGGCCTGCCACTCCTCGTCTCGCACGAGCCCGCCGCCCGACGCAGCGTCCGCCGCGACGGGGGCGGGCGGCGCTGGCACCGGCACTGCTGCGGGCGGGGCACTCATCGGCACTTCTCCCGGAATCTCCATTTGCGCGAAGGCGTCGTCGTCGAGGCAGTAGGCGTCGTACTGCGAGGCTTGAGAGGCTGAGATGTCCTGTTGGGAGCCTTGCGAGAGCGACTGCTGCGGCGCAGGCGGCACAGGCGCGAGCTGGGCGAGCAGCCGAGCGCGATCCTGCTCGGAGAGGCCCTGCAGCGCGGAGAGTAAGCAGGCATGGTCGGTCATGGGCGATCGAACGGCTCTCACCGAGAGCGACAGCGTCAGCGACCCTGAGCGGGAGCTTCAAAATGCCGCAAAAAAAAAGAAAACCAGGCGCAGGCGTGCGGTTGCCAACTGCACTCCAAGTGCTCCAAGGGCCGCGGTCGTGTGGGTGGATGCTGCTACCTGGGCCCATCTATGGCCCAGCCCCCCTCCGTGTCGCGATGCGCTGCCCGCTCCCGTTCCCCTGATTGTCCTTCCAAGATGTCCTTCCTGCTCGCTCGTGCAGGTGGGGACCCTCGGGCCCTCCCTGTGAAAACCTCAGCGCGAGAATGCCGCACGAGAAGAGCATCGCAGATCAGTACACAACACAGCGAAATGAACAAGACAATCGACTTAGAAGTCTGCAAGCACGCGAGAGGAGTGGATACTTAGTAGACATCAGAGCACTATTAAACAGATCTGGCATCACCTTGGTACAGCTTGGCAGCATCCGATGTTTTTTTACGCGCAGCCTGCGGTCTTGAGGAGGAGGAAGGGGGGAAGGAGGCGAAGATGTCACAGCATCGCCCGGCACAAATCGGACGCGGTCGCTACTTTGTTGTAATAGTCATCAGTGTTTTGGTTGGAGCACCTTCCGCTCCAGCCCAATGTTGCCGACCCCGACGACGTGCAGCCACAGAAAGGACCGTTCACGTTCCCGGTTATGGTAGGAAAGACTGCAGATATGGGATAGGTCTTACCTTCGTAAACGTTCGGCTTGCACTCCGAGTCGCGGACGCTTGGATTTGGACATCTGCTGGTGCAATACTGGCCAATGTAGGCCTGTACGTCGGCAACACGCTGCTCAACGGTCGCGCCACTCTTCATGTCCGTTGTGACCTGCCAGGGGCCAAGAGTGGACTGGGCCGGGTCGTTTGGGTTGGGCATCAAGTCCATCTGGAAGGCAAGTGCAGAGGACAGACACGTCGCGTTGAAGTCCTTCCCTTCGTTTCCCACCTTGCAAAGGGGATTTACCCCTTCACCCAACGCGATCGCCATCGCGTACTCACAATTCGCTTGGGCGTCCGCTGATGAGCTCCCGATTCCACTCAAGAACCCCTCCGCCACAACCTGGAACGAGCACGACAGCGCCTTCGAACCAATGCATCTGTCGGCCACCGGAGCTGTGACCGACGGATTGCACGTGATGAAAGTGCAGCCCGCCGGCGCCGGAGACGGCGACGGCGAAGGTGTGATTGACGGCGATGGCGATGGCGACGGCGACGGTGGGGGCGATGGCGACGGCGACGGTGGGGGCGACGGCGAAGGCGACAGCGACAGCGCCGACGGCGACGGCGGGGGCGGGGGCGACGGCGCCGACGGCGACAGCGACGGCGGGGGCGACGGCGCCGACGGCGACGGCGACGGCGGGGGCGACGGCGCCGACGGCGACGGCAACGGCGGGGGCGACGACGGCGACGGCGACGGCGGGGGCGGGGGCGGGGGCGCCAACGGAGGGGGCACCGGTGGGGAGGCCAAGGACTGGCACTGCCGAAACGTCTCAAAGACGGAGGTGGCATCGCTTGGCAGCGCGGTGCACGTGAGGGAGTGCATGGTTGAGGAGGGCAGCTCCAAGAAGCAGGGGCACTGCACTGCGGCGTCGAGAGAGTCTCCCGAGAATAGGGCGGTCTCAAGTATAGTCGCACAAGCGGGTGTGAGGCTGTCTTCGATTATGGAGCTGAGCCGCGCAAAGTCGCAAAGTTGCCGCAGCTGCGATGGCGGCGGCGACAGCAGCGGCGACGGCGGCGGTGATGGTGGGCAGCGGCGCATGACGCGGCAGATGGCTGCATCAATCTCTGGGTCGGACGGCGTCCGAGCCGTGAAGGCATGGGCGGCGGCCGCCGCTGCCGCGAGCAGCGCTGCTCGGAGCATGCGCACACAGACAGGACTGGGCCGACGCGCGCAACGCCAAAACTTGGGCAGCGGAGAACGCTATTGTACTTTTTAGCTTACTCTATTGTACCGTGCAAGGATGTGCGTTCCAGAAGGCCGTCCAAGGATATGCAACGTGCCGTGAAAGCGCGACAGCGTGTCAAAATGAAAATGATGTGTTTCAACGGATGTGACCTTAGCTTAGGATGTGACATGCCACCGACAGTCCGACACTGAGTCGTACGCAAAGACCAAAGTCCAAATCTATTCCTACGACCTCCCATGCTTAGAGGGAGCGCCTTGTCCCATCCCACATCGACCCAAGTGTCAAAAGGAGCACATGTCGTCGAGGATGTCGACGGGCTCGGCGCCCTTCTGGTGCACCTGATAGTAGAGCGGCTGGAAGTGGTCTTCCCACGGCTTCGGCATGTTGATCTGGATGCCTCCGATCAGGATCAGCTTGCCGCTGCTGAATTCAGTGTCGACGATGCCGAGGAGCATCTCCTTGACCGCCTCGTAAGCGACGTGGATCAGCGCCTTCATTTGGTCGTCCGAGGATTCGATCTCGCCGAAGCGGCGGTTGATGCGCTGCTTGAGCCACGACTGCTGCATGTCCATCTCGTCAAATTCGCCGGCCTTGCCGCATCTGCAGGCGGCGTAGGCGCCAAGCACCGCCCCGCACGCGGTCGACTCGTGCACCTGCCCCTCGCGCAGGTACTTGCCCAGCTCGCCCTCGTCCGAGATGGCGATGTGCGGGCCAAAGAGGATGATGATGTGGCCGTCATCTGGCACGTGGTGCGAGAAGGCGCCGAAGGTGTGATTGACGGCGATGGCGACGGCTTTGGAGATGGTGACGAAGGCGGCGGGGGCAGCGACGGCGACGACCCCTACCAGGGCTGCCCCGGGGGCGTCATCGCGGACGAGCCGGAGGAGCACTCCCTCTTCGCCGAGTTCGGGATGTACAAGTCCCCCGATATTGCGCCGCTGGCGCAGCCGGCCAACCCGCTCGAGGCGACCACCGGCGAGGCGACCACCGGAGCGGGCGCGGCACCCACCGGAGGGGCACCCGCCGGCACGGCGATGCCCATTGAGGACCTCGCCGGTGCGGTGGCCCGCGGGGCGGCCGGCGCGGCGGCCACCGGAGCCGCCCGCACGGGGACGGCCAGCGCGGCGCCTGCTGTGGTGCGGGTGCGGCGACCGGCGCGGGTGCCGCGCCCGCCGCTCGCCGGGCGATTGCCAACTTCGCCGCCGCGCTCTAGACGAGCACCGGCCGGTGCTGGCGTGGAAGACGGCGGCCATCCGCGCGTATCTAGTGTGCGTGTCCTAAGTGTTGGTGTCTGCGCAGCCTCCTGGAGCCTAGCAGAAGGCGGCCGGCGGTGGGGCGAGGGAAGGGGGGGGGGGGGGGGGTATGGTCCCGTCGGCGGGAGGCTGGGTCTGTCAGCAGGCGGGGGGGTATGGTCTCGAGGTAAGCTACCATACCATACCAAAAGTCCGAACCCGGGTGCTCTGCTTCGCGTGTGCTTCGCGTTAGGCGGCGGGGCCTCAAGGGCTGAATCCCCGCCGAAAGCCGCGGCACAGCAGCACCGCGAGATCCGCTTGCTCCACACGTGCATGCCGACACGCGCGTCTCTCGCGCTCCTCTGGCCATACGCAGCTTGGGAGGCCCATGGCGCGGCCACCGGCGAGTGGCGCACGCTCACATTCTACGACGTGGTTCCCGCGCACTGCCGGGGCCGCGTGAGCAACATGGACGTCGCGAACGTGGCCGGCGACATGTTCTTCTCGACCAAAGACAAGTATTTGGCCGTCGCTTGCCCATCCTGCCTCGCCAACAAGAGCTGCCACGGCGCCGCCACCTTCGACTGCACCAACCCCGAGAGCACCGGCCAGCTGGTCGTGCGGCAGCTCTCGGTTGAGGTCCTCGCATTCGGGGACGCGTACTCGCTTTGCGACGTCTGGCCCCACCACGGGGAGTGCGAGTACTCCTGCTTCGCGCCGCCCGGCCACAAAGGCCCCGGCGTCGGGCGGGAGAGGGTCTGCGCCGGCGGCTCGTGGCGTGCGTGCGGGATGGCGCCTGATCCGTCTCCCGTCGTGCCGTTTCGGCACGCCTGGGACTACTGGAACTGGAACATCGCGTCTCGCTTTGGCAACTCCGGCGGCGGCGAGTGGTACAGCCTGACGGCGGCGGACGAGGGCCTTCACTGGCGCAACGCCAGCGTCGTCAAGGCAATCGACCAGGCATGCCAGGCGAGGGCGTTTGACGGCCTCGTGGTGAGCAGAGGGGCGGCCTGCTTTGAGGCCTGCCCGCAGCCGGCCAACCGCTCGAGTGAGTGCTGGGTCGACTGCTTCTTCGAGACGCTGCTCGGCCCGGGCGCGGCCACCACGCTCAAGCCGCCCGGCGCACAGACCGGTGCGATGGACGTGGGCCACCTCGCCGACGCGTGGCTGAGCGGCCTGCGCCACGACGACCCGGCCAAGGGAGGCTGCCCTCCGTGCCCGCCGGACAGCCCGTGCCCGAGCGGCGGCGAGGACGGAGGCGGCGGCTGGGCGGGCGCGGCGCCGCGGCGAGCGGCGGCCGGGCCGGCGGCTGCTGAGTTTCTTCCGCCGCCGGGCGTGGCCACACAAACGGCACTACACTGAGAAGCTCCTTCCCGCGCCCCACGGGCGCGCGCGTACGTCTGAGTGTCGATCTGCATGGTACATCGCGTGCACAGCTCAGATACAGCTGAGAGCTGCAGGCGTAGTCGGGGAGTCCAACTCATGTATATGTTTCTATGTGCGTGAATAGCGCATACGGTTTATTATTTCTGATTCTGTGTGTTTTGGTTTTATTGGTCGCCTTCTCTGTTGATTTTGTGATTTGTGTTGTGCTCGGACAATCCAAACAAAAATCGTCGAGCCTTAAACCAGTCGCACCGCTCTGGGCCGGCGCGGGGGCCCTAGAGGGTGTCCATGCGGGGGGGAGATGGGGTCCCCTGGCCCGCCGCAGGCGCCGATTTTTTTGGAGTTTTTCTTTTTTCGCGATTTTTTACTTGTTTTCATTCATGGGAATTCGGCGTACTTGCGGCCATGCTATCACGCCTTGCGACAGCCTGTCGGCGCTGCTGCCCGTGCCATGATGCACAATTGATCACCTGCATAGCTCGCGGCCTTAGTATCAAGCATTCAGTGACGACCTGATCGTACGGCCAGTAGGAAGGTGTCCTTCCAGCTGCGTGCACGCTTCTGGCGCAATGCGCGTCACCTCGGATTGGCTGCTGGCACTCTCGAGGCTATGCCTACACAGCCTCGCGCGCATGGGCAGTCAAGAGGGACCACGCACCTTCTCAGGACAGCGCCGGTGCCTCTCTCTTGGACCGGCAAACTTGGTGGTCTCGTGTCACCAATGTGGGACCAGTGCGGCATCGCGCCATTGACAGCTCTGAACTGCGCCTCACCACTGACCGGGAAGGCCGCCAAGTGGGCCAGCACAGGTCGCACATTGTGGCAGCAGTCAGCAGTGCATGGCTGATAGCTAGAGCAGCAGCGTCAGGGTCGCAGGGTCGGATCGTGTCAAGCCTCTCGCCCGGCCGGCCGCGTGCAGACGTCGGCCTGTCTGCTGTCTGGAGTGATCTGTCGGCGGTCAGTACGACCGACCAGGTCGGAGTTTTCTGATGGTTGGAGGGTCTATCTGTATGTACTCCTCGAGATCTCTCCAAATCTGCCCTCTGATCAACCGTAATCATTCGGGAAGTCGGTGCTCATAGAGACTCATAGAGCCGGAGCCCCGTTTCCGCACTGCGGCGCGGCGCACGGTGCCTCCGGGGGGCCCCGCGCCGGCCCAGAGTCGCACCGTCTCCGCGCAATCCGCACGCGCGCGCCGCAGTCCTCCACCAGAAAAACGCGCCCCGCGTTGCCGGCTCGCGACCCTCCGGCCAAACCGCAGGCCCAGCTCCCGGCGCCGTCCTCCTCCTGCCCGCCCTCGCCTCCCTCGCACGCCTCGCGGCCGACGCCCTCCTCGAGCAGCCACTGGTGCGGCCGGGGAAGCCGGACCGCACCCGCCCCCCGTCCGGCTCCAGCAGGTGCCACACCGTCGTGCTGAGCATGTCCAAATAAATAGACATCTCCATGAGAGATGGCCGACGTACGAACATAAAACTCCCCGTGTGAGTGAGTGAGTATTCTTGATACGAAACCACAACACAAACTACCTACGCCTTCGCAACACCGAAGAGAGAAGGCCCGCCGCCTAAACATGGGCTGCAAGGCGCGCGGGCAGCCCGGCCAACCCTTCGACCACAAGACCGGCCACGGCTACGTCAAGGCGCATCGCGGTTTCTACCACGACGCGATCTTTGTCAAGCGCAACAACTTCAACCTGCTGCTCCACGAGACGTTCGGCGGCGGCTTCTCGCCCACCGCCGTTCTCAAGCTGCGCCGCCTCGCGCGCAAAGTCGCGCGCGGCAGCGTCGACCGCACGGCCTACTCGCCCAAGTACTCGCTCTCTTTTATGTCCCACCATGCAGAGCGCATCTCTCTCTCTGTTGTGCGAGGCGTGAACCGCGCCATTCGCTCTCACCTGGCAACCCTGTCTGCACGTCTTGCGCGCGCGTGAACAGGGCTCCAGGCCCCAAATGACGTGTGAGTGTTAGAGTTGTTTGGTATTGCTAAAAATCGAAACCACGACGACACACCAGTCGACTCGTATCGGTTGCCTCCATGAACGGCGGAGCTATTCTCGCGCCCACACCACACCTGGCTCTAACGTGGACACGCCCATAGCTGGGGACACACACACACACACACACAACTCCCCGCTCCGCGGATTCCGGCCTTCAGTTTGTTTTTTGACGGCGTGCAGCATCTCAGGCCCGACTTTGACGGCGTTCGGCCACGAGGCGCTCAGCTCGCACGAATGTGCATCGCTCTGACGCTCTTCGTGCTGATCGCACCGCCGCCAACAGCGCCGAGTCCACCTCCCTGGTGGACCATCGAGCCGCCCCCTCCCGATCCCGCCCCGCCGCCGCCGCCGCCTCCTCCGCCTCCTCCGCCGCCGCCGCTGGACCCGCCGGGCTTTCCGCCATTTCCGCCAGGACTCGAGCCCGTGCACCTCGCAGCCACCGCGATCGTGCTCCTTGCCTTTGCGGGAAGCCTTGCCCTCTGCGCGCTCTGCGGTTTCTACCACGAGCGGCTGTGCGTGTGCTGCACCGCTGCAAGCGAGCGGCTGCGCGTGTGCTGCACCGCTGCAAGCGAGCGGCTGCGCGTGTGCTGCTCCGCTGCAAGCGAGCGGCTGCGAGCGTGCTGCTCCGCCGTGCGCGCCCGGCTCGCGCCGGCCGCGGGCAGGCGTACCGCTCCACTGGTCAGGACGCTGGCCATCTCGCCGGAGAAGCGGCACGTGCCCTTCACCGATGAGAAGGGGAGCTTCAGCGACAGCTCCACGGCCGGCAGCAGAAGGCCCTCCACGGCGCCGGCCGGGACTCGGCAGCCTGTCCCCAGAGACAGGCCGCGGCCGGGCAGGCCGAGCGTGCCGTCCGTCAAGGCGCTCGCCAGCCTCGGGGGAAGTTTGCGAGAGCTCTCCTTCGGCGAGTTCTCGCGGCGCTCCGTCAAGGAGCGCTCGTTCGAGGTGTCCTTTGGCGAGGGACACGCCTGCTCGAGGGAGCCGTCTGGCTCGCAGTCCAAGCGAGCCTCAAAGGTCCCGTCCTTCGACCACGAGGTGTCTTTTGGGGGCTCGAGGGCCTCTGGCTCGAGGGAGCCGTCCAAGCGAGCCTTCGAGATGGGGGAGGCTTCGCGCACCCAGGCTTCGTGCCGCACCCTCTCCTCGGACACCCTCTCCGAAAGCTCGCGCGCCTCCGCGCACAGGGGCGAGGCAGCGCACCCCCCTGAAGCCTCGTCACCCGAGATTCTCTCGGGTGGGCTGGTGCAAAGGATGCTGCGAGACATGGAGCGGCGAGATAGGCAGCAGCTCCAGCAGCTCCAGCAGCAGCAGATGGCTGCGGCGGTCGCGGTCGCGGGCAGTGGCAGCGGCAGCGGGAGTGGCAGCGGCAGCGGGAGTGCTCCCCGTCCGGGGACGGTGCGAAGGATGCTGCCCCCCGCGCAGCAGGAGCAATCGTCTATCTCCCCCTCGAGCACTCCCCCTCCGGGGACGGTGCGAAGGATGGCCATGATGCTGCCCCCCGCGCGGGGGCAAGACATGGAGCGGCAAGATCGGCAGGAGCAGCAGGCGTCGAACGATGACGATGGCGGCGCGCCGGCGGCCCGCTGGCTCACCGGGTTGAACACGCCGAGAGGCAGAGCAGCTGCCGGGTGGCCCGTTGATCTGTAAGTACTCAACTCGGCACGTGCTACCCCCCCTGCCCTCTCCGGGCTTAGATGTGCGCGATATTCATATTGTCTTGGGGTTGGGCTGGTGCTGGTGGGCTCTGTCGGGGGACGGGGCAGGGATCCATGAACCTTGAACGCATTGTTGGGTCGTTGCAGTGCTCAAATATTTACCGCCATACCGGCATGGCGCATGGGATTTTTTTGGCTAATCTGTAATCAAACCCTAAAGAGCCGTAGGCCTGCACTAATCTTGTAGACGAATCAAAAAGTTGGTAGCTGCAAGCTGGTACGGGAATCGGGATACCACTTGCCTCGCGGAAATCATAGCGAGTCGGAGTGCCTTTTTGGTTTTTGTTTGTGGTGGCAAAATCGGTGTTAGAGGGTCAACAGCGATCAGCGTCCTAATCTAAATACTAAAAATCTGGGATTCAGGATTGAGGCATCGCTTCAGTGAGGCTAAGTGAGTTTATGGATGTGTGAGAACGGCGGTACGGAACACGAGGAGTCACGCGGACCGACTCGTCGGTGACTATGCTGCACGCCGTTTCAGAATTTTTCTCAGCGTGAGCGAGACGTGGAAGAGTGCCACCGTCGGGTAGGACGGGTCGTCCCGGAGCATCAGAGTAGCCGTCGTGGTCGCGGCGAGCAGCCGCCGGCCACTCCGGCGCCGCGTCGGCAACATGGGAGCATGTCCACCGCCACTTCGCGGTCACAGCGCTGTTTTGTCGCCAAACGCCGCCATGTACCTTTTCGGGCAAACCATCGAGCTGCATGTCGGTTTTTACTTGACGGGCGCATGGAGGCATCACATCTCCATGCGCCCGTCAAGTCGGAGCCAGTCAGCGGCGACCACAGCGCTCAGAAAGGTACATGGCGAGCTTTTCAGAGTCAAGCAATTGCGCGAAATCCCACACTGCTCACTGGTGGATTTTGGGGCGCTGTCTTCCCCCTATCGGTGTAAATTTAATCGGCAAAATACCTGGAGACCGGTACTGTATTTTGCGCATTGCGGGTATACCTGGAAAAACCCTGGGTATACCCGGTAATAGCTAATACCCGCACTTTTGCATGGTTTCGCCCCCGGGCACACAGCCGCTACACGAATCAAAAACCCCGCATACCACTTTCGCATACCATACCACTCAAAAATAGCGAGCTCACCGCCGGGGCGGGCGCCTGGCGGCGCCGCTGCGCAAAAACCCCGCATACCACTTTCGCATACCATACCACTAAAAAACTAATCAAAATATCACCAAATGCCGGTCTCATACCGGTAAATATTGAGCACTGTGTCCCAGTCCCACGGCCACGCGCGACTCGCGAGTGTCGTGTGTCGCGAGCACGCGTCAGCCGCACCACGTCGCACGTGTCTCGTGTGTTCTGTGTGGTCTAGAGCCGTATGCACACTCTGCACAGCTCAGCACCTTTTTATAACAGGAAACAGCGCATGGACGGGCCGAGCGACCTTTCACAGTCACAGCTCACTGTGTGTACGCACACACAGCGTCTGAACCCCATGTGGGATCACAAAAGCCGGTCGAAAGGTTCGGCCGATTTGGTCAAAACGCTAAAAGCACTGTGGCAAAACGACAAAAGTGGGCCCGCCCGGGGCAAAATGGTAAAAAATCGCGCGCCGCAGGCGCGCGCGATTCGCCGTAAATTTTTTGGACATTCTACTCTCCGTCGCGCCCGCGGCGCTGCCTCTCCAAATACTCGCTCACTATGCGGCGCAGCCACGCCTTGTTGCCCGAGAGGGACTCGCCACGCTCGCCCAGCTCCTCCTTGAGCTTTACCACCTTCATCGCCACCAGATCCTTTTGGACCTTTCGCATCGCCGCCGCTGCAAAGAGCTCCGGGCTCACAGCCTCGTGCTCAGCAGCGCCCGCCCGCCCGCGGCCACGTTGGCCTGGGCTGAGTGTACATCACCGTTGCCCAGCCAGGCGCGAAAGTGCGTTGTGGGGGGACTGAGGCATCCTTACACACGTTGCAGCATGTGCATGTTTGGACACACACCGGGGGCGCTTTCGAGGCGAGCGGCAGCATTTTTCTAGCCGTAGTGTGCGGGAACTACTTTGCGGGAAGACAGCTACTACTACTGCACCGCCGGCGCGCAGCCAAAGAGAATTGTGACAAATGCTAAAATTGCTGGGCGGGGCGCTCCGAGACGACCAAAGTGGTAAAAGTGTCGCACTCTCCCTTGACCCGATCAGTAGCTGCTCGCTCGCGACGCGGCGATCGCACACACGAAGCGTTTTGGAAGGCACAGCGACCGCCCGCTGCGCTCTTCTCGGTTGGATTGTCGCTTTTGTGCGCGCGGGGCACACCCTCGATGACGAACGCCGGGCTTCCACTTGAGGGCAGGCGAGAACCATACCTTTGCCGTTCATGTTCCAGAAGGTGCCCGCTCTCGTGCCCATGATCAGAGCTCTTTCACGTCCACGACCGAGAAGATTGGCACTGCGGCCGGGTGCTCCGACGGCAGTGCCGGCAGCTTTGTGCGGAACTCGAGGTAGGTGCCGCGCTCGCGCAGGGCGACCGGTGGCGAAAAGTAGACGTCGCGCGACGCCACCTCTGCCACGAGTGCATCGAGTCGAGAGCGAGTCGGGACCGCGCCAAGCTCCTCGGTGAGCGTGACCCGCTCCACAAACACGGATCCAGCCAAGGCCACCGAGGTCACCCGGAGGCAGAGCTCAATGTAGGGCGCGCTTGGCGCGTGAGGATGTGAGGCAGGCCCCGGCATCGCCTCGCCCTCGGTCGGATCGTCCGCCGTCAAGCCCGCGCAGTAGGCGGCCTCGATTGAGGCGTGCAGACGGCCGCTCGACTGCGCGATAGCCCAGCGAGGCTCGTCGAGGGATGGCGGGCCTTGGTCCGACTCGCAGCACTGAAGGTGCTGCTCCAACTCTCCGAGGGCCTTGCGGCGCTGATGAACCCGGCGCACCGGCACGTAGGCTCGACGCACCTCTTCCAGGTCGGAGAGCGAGCCGAAGCAGGCCTCGGGGATCTCTTGCAGCTGCTCTGCGAGGGCGCGCAGCGAGTGGCGCCCACGCACAGCCTCGAGCCAGTGCGGCGACGCGCCGAGGCTGGTGACTTGATCTGCCGGCGTGCACCGAAGAAGGCCAGGCGAGGGCTGCGGAGACATGCAAGCTTGGCGATGGTGGCGCTCGAGCAGGGCGAGCGTGGTGCGTGTCATGTGGAGCAGCGACGTGGCCGACGGAAGGACCGCATCCGGCTTGGTGCAGTGCTCGCCCCAGTCTTGTAGCTGCGCCGCCTACCAGGCTCACGCACGCGACTGCCGTGCTGCGGGCGGCGGGGAACTACGGTGGCGGAAGTGGCGCGTGTGCGGGCACACCGAGAAGGGTGGGCCGTTCTGGTCTCGTGTGTCGGGCACCATCTGGCGGGCGGCTTCGAGAGCGGCAGTACTGACCCTCCACGCAGCATCAAAGTCGGCGCGCTCGGCGGAGATGTCGACGGTGCGCCGAGCTTGGACCGTCTGGGGCGAGGCGGGCTCGGCAGCGCTGCGCAGCGGGGAGCCATTTCCTCCGTTGTGGCTTTCGTCGCCAGTGAAGTTGAGACGTGTCGGCTCCAGCATCGAGAGCGGGGAGCGGGGGACTGGACCCAGGACTCGGTCGCGACGCCGTCGTAAATTGAAAAAGAGTACCCGCTGAAGAATTCTTAAACGCAAGCGGACTGGCGCGGACGAGAAGAATTCAAACAACATCTCTCTCACAGTGTGTGTGTGTGTGTGTCTCACAGACACAGGTTCGACACAGGTACCAAAAGGAGCACAGCAGACGGCAACCCCTTAGGCGCCGTCGAAGAGACCGGTATCACCTGCGACCTGGCCGGTCGCTCTTCCCCCCTCCCCTCGAAAGCGCGCTCAATCGCTCGTTCGTCGCACTCCACCCCCCGAGCCCACCTTGCCGCGCTGCGGGCCTCCCGCCGCCGGCCATCGCGGGACCGCCGCCCGCCGCCACCCCAGCAACCGCTCCCTCCGCGAAGAAGAAGAAACGTCCGAAAAGTGAGGTTGATGACTGCACTCCAAGTGCTCCAAGTGCGAACGGGGTGCACGACTGCACGACGCGCAGACACCTGGGATCGACGGTCGGAGCTACGAAGAGCAAGGAAAGTCAAGAGAGAGGGAGGTGCTTACGAGAAGCTGCCGCAAAGCCGAGCGTGGCGCGTGTGGGAGCTGGGACACGTCGCACGCCGCGCGGAGATGCCGAACGCGACCGTGCAAAACGAGCAAAAACCGCGTTTCAAACTCGGTGTCCACGAGCCACGACGCGCTCTCCATTTAGAGCATTCTCCTTAAAAATAAACAGCTGACATGTTGTAGCCCTCAGGCGTCTCTCTGTCTCTCTCTCTCGCTCTCTCTCTGTCTGATCCTCGAGCTGAAACGCGGTGCACCACTTCTATCTCGAATGTTTGCTGCTCTGCTGCGCCTGCGGCGGCCCCGCCTGCGCATGCCCCCGCCCGTGTGACAGCGTCAGGCCGCCAAACACGTCTCCCAGAATGTCACCGACGTCGGTGAGCGCGTCCTCGACGGTGCTGGCGACGGTGCTGGCGGCGGTGGAGAGGGTGCTGTTGAGCGTGCCCACCGTCGTGTCTAGCGTCTCGCCAACCGTCTGACCCGCCTCGCCGAGCTCAGTGACGGTCGTGCCGAGCGAGCTGCTCACCTGCGGGGTGTGGACTCGGGCGTGTCATGGACGTGGCGTGTGGCGTGGCGGCGAGGACGCAGAAGACCCCGTTTCCCCTCCCCGCCTCCCAGAGAGCTTCGTCTACTACATCTCGGCTCGACCTCGGCTCGACCTCGGCTCGACCTCGGCTGGAATCTCGGCTGGTTCTAGGCTGGATCTCACCTGGCCGCCGGCCAGCTTGTCGACGAGCTGCATCGCCGCCGCCGAGCCGGCGAGGCCCTTGTTCTCGAGCGCCACCGTGATGAGCTCCTCGACGTACGGCAGCCGGACCCGGTCCGGACCGAAGGTGAGGTCGAGCGCCGAGTACAGCCCGACCTCGATCTCGCCGTCCTTGAGCAAGTCCGCCATCATCCGGCTCAGCGTCGCGGCGGGCGCCTTGAGCAGGAGCGGGAACGCGCGCGAGCGGCGCGACTCGAAGGGGCCAAGCACGAGCGGGGGCGACACCTACACCCAAGTCCAGCCGAGATGCAGCCGAGGTGCAGCCGAGGTGCAGCCGAGGTGCGGCCGAGGTGCAGCCGAGGTGCGGCCGAGGTGCAGCCGAGGTGCAGCCGAGGTACAGCCGAGGTGCAGCCGAGGTGCAACCGAGGTGCAGCCGAGGTGCAGCCGAGGTGCAGCCGAGGTGCAGCCGAGGTGCGGCCGAGGTGCGGCCGAGGTGCAGCCGAGGTGCAGCCGAAGTGCAGCCGAGGTGCAGCCGAGGTGCAGCCGAGGTGCAGCCGAGGTGCGGCCGAGGTGCAGCCGAGGTGCGGCCGAGGTGCGGCCGAGGTGCAGCCGAGGTGCGGCCGAGGTGCGGCCGAGGTGCAGCCGAGGTGCAGCCGAGGTGCAGCCGAGGTGCAGCCGAGGTGCGGCCGAGGTGCAGCCGAGGTGCAGCCGAGGTACAGCCGAGGTGCAGCCGAGGTGCAGCCGAGGTGCAGCCGAGGTACAGCCGAGGTGCAGCCGAGTGCGGCCGAGGTGCGGCCGAGGTGCAGCCGAGCTCTAGCCGAGACACGGTCGAGACACAGTCGAGATACAGTCGAGATGCAGCCGAGCGCGAGCGGGCGGGCGGGCGGGCGAGCGGGCGAGCGGGCGGGGGGGGGGGGGGTCGGCGGCACCTCGGGCACAGAGACTCGGCCGACGGCGGTGCCCAGGTACGTCACGTTGACCTCGACGGCGAGCACGGTGGTGGTGATGTTGAGCGGGTTGGAGAGCTGGCCGATGTACACCGTCTCCTCGAGCTCGGCCAGTGGAGTTGGGTCCTTCTCGATCAGCCCATGAGAGTGGTCGCCGACGTAGCCGTGTGCGTGGTCTCCCGCCTGCGTCAGCAAGAGAGGTCGGTCGGTCGGGTACTGCAGCCGTGCCGAGTGCTCAGCACGTCGCGGGAGAGCATGGACATGGGCTACGCACACAGCGGAACGCAGCGGAACGCAGCGGAACGCAGCGGAACGCAGCGGAATGAACACAGCTGTGAGTCGGGATACACGGGGGTCTGTACTCCTCTCCATCTCGAGATATGGGGGAGATATGCGGAGACACGAGCAGAGATACGAGGAGATACGGGGGAGATCTGGGGGAGATCGGGCATCTAGTTCCGCCCACAAGCCCCGCCAGGGAGTGGATCGCCGCCGCGTTGACGTCGACGTGCATACCGACGTCTCGGAAGAAGTGGAGCAAGCGGCCCGGCAGCTTCGCGTCGAGGGCGACGCCTTGCAAGGCGACGCTGTAGAGCGGCACGCCGCCTGGCGCCACAAGCGCGGACAGAACGTCTCTCGAGGAGCGGCGAGGCAGTGGGCAGTGCGCGCGCATGGCGGCGTCGGGTGTGTGGCTGGCGATGTCGGCGAGGAAGTTGCCGGTGAGAGGGCTGCGTTGTAGATCCGAGGCCAATTTCGAGTCACCTCGAGTCACCTCGGGCGATCTCGGGCGATCTCGGGCGATCTAGGGCGATCTCGGGCGATCTCGGGCGGTCTCTCGCGCCGATGGAGGTGAAGACGGCGTGCACGTCGCTGGTTCGCCCCGCGGCGTAGTCCGCCGAGAGGCGCTCGAACTCGTGCACGTCCTCCGGCGGAGAGAGGATCGGGCCACGGAGTGTGTACGAGAGGGCGCCCTGCCGCATGCTCACGAGCCCGTCGGTGGCCACCGCGGCGAACTGCGACCCCGCCGCGGTCTGGACGGCGAAGGCGATCTCGCCGAGCGGAGTCAGCTCGAAGGAGGATGGGTTCTGCGCCTCCACCTCAGCCTCGAGCGTCACCTCGCTCCCGGGGTACGACTCGCTCAGGTGCAGCGCGGTCGTGCGCGCGGCCAGCCCTCCCATCCCGCGCAGCCGGAACTGCTTTGCCAGCGTGATGCCCTCGAAGAGAAGGCCTGGCCACGCGCGGACAGTCACGCTGCCGGCCACGGAGAGGGAGAGCTCCGGCGCGGTGATGATCCGCGCCGAGAGCTCGTGCAGGGCGGTGAGGTTCGCAACCTCGAGTGCGCCGCGGACATGAAGCGGAACGCGGCCCCCAAAGCCGACGGCGAGCGGGCTGAGCGCTTGGAAGCTGCCGACGGGCGCAGCTCCGCCGGAGGCGTGTGCGACGGAGAGGTCCATCCGCTCGACGGTGCACGCCACCGGGAGGAGCCAGAGCCGCAGCTCGCCCGTCGTCTGGATCGCAACGGTCAGGTCGCTCCTCGAGATGGACACGTCCAGGGGGCCTGCTGAGCCAGGGTCGCCCGAGCCAAAGTCGCCGATGTCGCTCTCCGACGGCGCGACGTGCAGCGCAGTGACGGTGAGCACAGACCTGTCGACGAGGAACTGGACCGCCGCGCTGGCCACCGTGGGCCCAGCAAATGCTGTGAACAGCAGCAGAACGAGGGCAACAGGCAGCAAACGCAGAGCGAGCGGACAGGGCCTCGACTGTGCCGGCGCCTCGTCAAGCGCACGCGCGGTCCCAGCGTCGTCGCCACCAGTGGAGCTGCACGGGCACAGTGCGTTGGTAAGCTTGGCGGCGCTAGTTCGAGCGCTAGGCTCGACGTCGATCATCGGGCGGTGTGGTAGTTGCGCCGGGCCAAGGTGGACGCGAACTTTTTTTCTTTTATATATACCAAAAGGAGGGCTACACGAGGCCCTCTACGCTGGGGCGCCGGCGCCTTTTTTTCTTTTCTTCAGCGTGAATTTTGGCGGAGATTGCTAGAGGACGAGCAAAAGAAAAAGCGGTCCGTATTGTCGTGTTTACACTAAGATCGACAACGGACAAGAGATCAGACCGCACAGTCTACTGTGTACTCTCACCACCTGTGGCCACACGGACCGTGTGGCCCCACGTACGAGTGGCTCGCCCTCGCAAGAGCCCGAACTCTCTCTCCCCCTCTCTCAAGAAAAGACGAGCATTGTGAGCACGATCAGCACGGCCGTCAGGACGAGGATGGCGCAGAACTTGCCGCGGTCGCTCGACTTGAGCATCTTCTGCATCGTCGCCATCGCGCCGCCCATCTGCGCGCCCGCCTCGTCCACCTCGTGGTCGAGGTCGTCGAGCATGGCGCCCTGCTGCCGCAGCTCGGTGTTGATGGTGCGGCCCATCTTGTCCAGCCGCGACACCGCCACCGAGAGGTTGCCGAGCTCGACGTCCTGCGCCTGCATCTCCTCTTGCTGCGTCATCATCTGCTGCTGCATCACCGCCTCCAGCGGCGCGTCGCGCCTCGCTGGCGCGCTGTAGGCGTGCGCGTCCGACGGCGCGCCCGCGCGCCCGTTGTCCGAGCGCAGCAGCTCCGCGCGCGAGCTGCCGCCCTTGCCCGCGCGCCTCGAGGGAGTGGAGGACGAGGAGCGGTCGAGCTCCTCCCTCATCTCGCGGCAGGTGCGCAGCGAGTCCTGCAGGAATGCGTTGCGCGCGCGCGACTCGGCCGGCGTCGCCGCGATCGAGATGGTCTCCTCCAGATCCTGAAGGTCCACCTCCACCTCGGAAAGCAGCTTCCTCACGGCGGCGGCGGCGGCGTCCTTGCCGGCAGGCGGAGCGTTGCGCCAGCGCACGACCAGGCCGCCACCCGAAGCGAGCTGCCGCTGCACCTCGGCCCGCACGATCTCGTAGGGGTCCGCCATCGTTCGGAAGGCGCCGGCGCGCGGCCTGCAGTTTGGACACAGGAAATAAAAAGAATTTTCAAAGCCACTAGGCACGGGACTGGCGCGCACTGGCACTAACACAGGTACACCACGGGAGCCGCCTAAGCGACTCCCGCGAGGACGTAAAAAGAGAATTCGCAAAGAGAATATGCGCGCCGATTCTCGCACGACACTGGGCACGGTGAGTGAGTGAGTGAGTGAGTATTCTTGATACGAAACCACGACGACACACACCAGTCGACTCGCATCGGTTGCCTCCATGAACGGCGGAGCTATTCTCGCGTCCACACCACACCTGGCTCCAACGTGGACACGCCCATAGCCCTGGGGGAGGGTGTAGAGGATGTAGAGTGTAGAGCGCTGTAGAGCTGTAGAGATGTAGAGCACTCTGGAGCGCTGTAGAGCTGTAGAGCTCTACATCCGGCGCGGGACGATGTGAGTCCGATGTAGAGCGATGTAGAGCGCGATTTTGCTGTAGAGTTTGATGTAGAGGCTCTACAGCCAAACCGCCGGGAAGGCAGTAACTCAAAGAGGTATTGTCCCGCAGCCGCTCCGCCAGCATCTCGGAGTCGCCCTCTGCGGAGAGCTTCTTCTCTTCGCAGAGCCGCTCGAGATGCCTGCGGTCGACACGGTGTAGCCAGGAGAGGTCGGCCTCTTCCGGCGTCGCGCTGGGCTCGCCATCCTGAGCTGGATTGGATGCCGCCTCCATCGTCTCTGCAAGAAGCATATCTGTAGCTGGCGCCGCCTCCTCCTCGTCCGCGTCTGGCGGGATGGAAGACGCCCCCACCCCTGCCGCTAGCTGCGGCCCCGCCTCTGCCGCCTCCGCCTCTGCCGCCTCGGGTGCCTCCCCATCAACCGCCAGCGCCGCCGGTGCCGATGCCGCCGCCGCCGGCATCTCCACGTCAGCCGCTGGCGCCTGCTGCGCCGACGCCGCCAGCTTGTCGCCGATGCGCTGAGCAATATCCGCCTTGTTGCCCTGCTTGGTGACACCGACCACCTCGCACAGCGACTTGAGCTGGGCCACGCTCAGGCCTCTATTGCCCTGCAGCCGCTCCGCCAGCATCTCGGAGTCGCCCTCTGCGGAGAGCTTCTTCTCTTCGCAGAGCCGCTCGAGATGCCTGCGGTCGACACGGTGCAGCCAGGAGAGGTCGGCCTCTTCCGGCGTCGCGCTGGGCTCGCCATCCTGCTGCATGCTGCAAGCTCGGGGGGGGACGGCCGACTTGCGTGCTGGACGCGTGGACTTGCGCAAGTCCTTATCCTTGTAGGTCGACTTTCCCGTCAGCGCCCAGTCGGAGGAGCAGCGTCGCCCTCCTATCCCCGGGGCTCGGCGCGTCCTCATCCTCCTGGAGCAGCCTCTGCGCCTTGACCGCCTCTACCCGCTCGCCAATCTGCTTGTACGGGTCTCCGAACAGCGGCCTCCCGCCTCCTGTATAATAGTAGGTCGCCATCTCCTGCGGTTCCATTGCCCCGTAGAAGTCGAGCTCCCTACTCCGCCCATGTTGAGCGTAGTGTCCTGCCAGCAGGTCGCACCCGTGGTTCAGCCTCGCTAGCAGCCCCGTCCTGCCGTCCCACCGTTGCCTCTGGCCGCGGTTATGGTACGCCTGCTCCCACGTGGCGGCAAAGTCGATGCCTCGGTCGTTGTATCCGTCGATCACCCGGCTCTGTTCTCGGAGCACCCCCGCCTCGGACGTTCGGACCATGTCCCTCACCGACTTGCTCCGGTGACACGTGGACAGGAAGGCCCGCCGCATCGCGTCGCTGTCGGTAGACCCCACCACTACCGCACCGTCAGGTATGGCGTCGGCGCACTCGCGGGTCGCATCCAGTAGCGCTCTTTGCTCTGACGAGGTGCTGTGCTCTAGCTGATCGCCGCGCGTCGCCATCCGGCTCGCGCCCGCTGCCACCCCCGCTTCGTACGGCGAGAGGGCGTCCGCATCAACCAGGATATATGCCGCCGCCAGGCGCGGTCTCGCTTCTGGCGGGATGTCATGCGCCTCTCCCACCTTCGCCGCCCGAACGTGGATATCGCGCCGGAGGCGGGTGGGGAAGGTCTCTCCGCATATGCAGGCGTAATCCAGCTCACCAGGAAGCCTCCGAACCGCTTTTTTAAATACTTTTCTTCGATACTTTAGTCCTCCCGCGCTCGTGCGGAGCGCGCCGCCGACACACTGCAAATGCTCTTCCTGAGCCTCGCCGCCATCGGCAAGCTCGACGTGACTGGCCCGCACGGCGCCCGTCGTGCGGGCCCGCCCCTGGTCGTGCACGCCGAGGTTCAGGCCGCCATCGACGCCGGCGAGCCTGTGGTGGCGCTGGAGTCGACGATCATCACGCACGGGATGCCTTACCCGGACAACCTGCACACCGCCCGCGCGGTGGAGGAGGCCGTCCGCGAGGCCGGTGCGGTGCCCGCCACCGTCGCACTGCTCGATGGCGTCTGCCACGTCGGCCTAGCCACCGAGGAGCTGACGCGGCTCGCGCAGCTCGGGCGTGAGCGCGTCGCCAAGTGCTCGCGTCGCGACCTCGCGGCGGTGATGGCGCGGCGCGGGCACGGCGCGACGACGGTCTCGGCCACCATGCTGCTCGCGCACCTCGCCGGGGTCCCAGTCTTTGTGACGGGCGGCATTGGCGGCGTGCACCGCGGCGGCGAGGCATCGATGGACGTGAGCGCTGACCTGACTGAGCTGAGCCGGACGCCGGTCTGCGTGGTGTGCGCGGGGGTCAAGTCGATCCTCGACATCCCGCGCACGCTCGAGGTGCTCGAGACAAACGGCGTTGCCGTCGCAGCGCTCGGCGCGCGCCTCCCGAGCGCACGTCGGCGGAGCTCACGCCTGCCAGCTGCCCTCGCCACTGCGCCTCACCCTCTCTCTCGCCCCCCCCACCCCCCCCCCCCACCCCAGATTCAAAGGTCCAAAGATTGATTGGTTAGCATCCAGGCTCGTAAACACACACACACACACACACCTCCCCCCCACCCGGCCGCAAGGCGCGAGCGAGTTCCCGGCCTTCTTCACCCGCTCGTCTGGCTGCGCCGCCCCGCTCACCGTGGCAAACCCGCACGAGGCCGCTGCCCTCGTCCTGGATCCCAGATGCGGAGCACGCACGCATGATCTCCCCATATCTCCCCAGATCTCGGAGCTCAGAGGAAGAGTCCATTCTGTGTCTTCCAGACCCACGCTCGAGGGCGCGTGTCTCGTTGCACTCACTGCATTCTGCCTTCGCAGCCCTTGTTGCATTCGAAGCCCTTGTGTCACGCGAGACCGTACACACACACACACACACACACACACACACACACACACACACACACACACACACACACATGACTGTGGTCTGCTCACGACGCAGACCACGCCTCGTGTAATCTCGGGTAATCTCGGCTCATCACGACCTCGGGTGATCTCGGGTGATCTCGGGTGATTTCGCAGGACCACGCCCCGCCGCGGCCTCATCGCGCAAGGAAGCACATGGTTAGGTGCACGCCTCGCGCAGCCTCGGCCTCTCCTCGGGCACGCTCGTCGCGGTGCCAATCCCTGCCAAGGCGGAGGCGGAGGCGGGGGCGGTGCAGGCGGCGATAGAGGCGGCGCTCGGCGAGGCGGAGGTGGCCGGCGTGCAGGGGCGCGAGCTCACTCCGTACCTGCTGGCAAGGGTGAGAAGACACCCTCACCCCTCCTCACCCCTCGCACCTCCTCACCCCTCGCCCCTCGCCCCTCGCCACCTCCCCTCCCTCACTCCCTCACTCACTCCCTCCCTACCTCCCTCCCCACCTCCCTCCCTCCCCACCTACCTCACTTCCGATACACGAGG